CCATATCTGTTCACCGTCGTAAACAATGAATTGATTACAGGTAATTAACCGGTACGGGCCGTAAGGGAACCACAGTTGACGGTGTCTACACAACCGGCCGTCCGATCCTGACCAGAATATGCAACTAAGGTTGCCTACCTTGTAGTATCACATTTATTATACTTACTTATCCCTGCTTTCCTGGTCTTCCTCCGACATTCGGCCTATGGTTGAAATACTAAAGAGCACTACAATGCGCAAGTGCCAAAAATTTTGAATTATGAATCATAAGTCAACTGACTGACAAGTATTGCATGCTCTATATTGTAGGGGTTGGGTGCGATAAATATCGGCATCGCCAATTATTATCTCTCACGCAGTTTTACAACTTCCTCGGCAACACATTTCAAATAATCGCGTCTATTTATAAAGCTTTTATCTAAGAATTGCGATAACATGTTGTCATGCACACTTCTCGTCTGTTACAGAGATGCATACCGGAATTCGGAAATGCAGCCTTCAACTTGTTCATGGAGGCGACGAACACGTGCGGCGACGAGGGAGAAATCGAGTACTGCATTCAGACCGGAGTCTCCTCGCAAAAATCGTGCGAGCTCTGCTACCCGGACGAGCACAGCGCCCGTTTCCTTACCGATTTTCACAGCCAGGATGAGCCGACCTGGTGGCAATCCGAAACCATGCTGGAAGGCATACAATATCCCTCCCAGGTCAATCTAACCTTAAATTTAGGTAAGTAGATTATCGAGTGTCTGTCTGTTGGTCGTGGTTGTAACTTGTAACCATAAAAGGAAGTCGCAAACGTCGCGTGCCGAAGCGCAAACAATAAAAAGTACGAAAATATCACTGTAAAAAGCACCGTTTGGCATCACTGAAAGCCGCAAGAGAATGATGACCACACAAATTAGGTAGACACTCGTTGCATATTTATGGCCATTTTACATTTCTTACTGTCCGATATAATATTCGTTTCTACCATACATGGACGCGTTCAAATAATCTCGTATAAATCTACATTTTTTTCTTCGCTGAATTTTTGTCAAACAGCGTTAGCGTCCAGTGTTAGTTTCATTTCTGTACAGGTCAATATTCTGTCGCAAATGCAAGTAAAACAAAATCAAAAGAACGTCTCTCAAACCATGAGTTTGTTTTCTATTTTTTCTGAGCAATGACTCAATGAGTGATAGAAGCTACGATAGAAGGGACCAAAACAAACGTTTTTCCCACTGAACTGAAGCTCCAAAAGGGCTTCGTCCCCAAAAGTCCGAAAATTTGCGTTCATAAAAAATTCTGAAATGTACCATTTGGGGTATTCAATTCGTTTTTACACTTATCACCCACCAAAACGTAAATCCATATCGCCAATTGTATCAAAACTACGCAGGGGTGCGCCTAGTTTGGTTTACACATTGTATGTTACTGTCCAGCGACTTTTATAAATAGATCAAGAGCTTGGCATTTCAAAGCCTCTGAAAAGTTCTTGGATCAATAAAGTATCAAGTATCAAGGCTCTTGAAACTCCTTCGAGGTACTTTGAAAGATTAAACCTCTTCAAAACTAAATGTTTATTAAGGGCTCCGCCAGGCTTTGGAAGACTTTTAGAGACATCCAAATTAGTATAGTGTAAACCCCCAGGTTCTACGCTAACTTCACACTACAAAAACACGGAAATAAAGTCAACCCGGCAACGTTTAAAAATGGCCACCCGAATGACTATTCCCTCCAAAACTAAACAAGATCTCGCTTGAATTTGAAAAGTGGCACGTGATAAAACATCTAAGTCAGGGACCCCTTACGTTAGTTGTAGACAACGCTTTGACCTTAAGCACAGTAGAGAAGGATCGTAAAATAACACACTCAAATTGTGAAAAGTTTGTTTAATAATGATCGCAATTATTAAGATTGTGAAAGCTCGGAAATTTAAGTCGAAAAAAATTACATTGCAAAAATAAACTTTGAAAATGGTAGTTCACCGAATAAAAATAGAAATAGGCTGGGAAAAAAAGAACTTGCCAATAAAAAAACCAGCCGTCAAATTAATATCAAATTGTTTGTAATGTTGTGAATGCGTAACATAGAATTATAACATCACAAAAAGTAGCAGGTAAACTTGAAGAGGTAACATACAGGTTAAAAACAAGTTTTGGTAATTATGGGTCAGGTAAGCAGGTACCAAGATTCTAAGAAAGGGTGAAATACACAGGATGTGACTCATCTTTGGTGCAATAAAGTCCTTTTGTTAAAACGCATGATGGAAAATTACATGGGCTTGTAGGCAAATTTAACTAAAAACAAGATATGTGGAAATTATTGAATCGCCACTCATTTATCGCACATAGATTCTAAACTGAAGAGCTTTGATTAGCGTAATCCCGCTCCTGCAAGATAGGTAGCCCGCCCCTGGTTTCGGGGTTTCGAGCCTACAGTTAAATGTCGAAGACAATCACGGAATTACGTGTCGTAACTCAATTTTGACTACAGTTTTTACCACCCCCGTGACTGCTTCATTCACGGAGAAAAATGGTTAGTTACAAACAACAAGTCCGTACATACATCAAACGAATCGGTAATTTCCACATATTAAAATAAAATGATCAAAACTTATATGAATGTTACTTCAGGGACAAGACCAAATAATCAACATCAATAAACATATATTACGCAAGCATTACACCAAAAACGTAAACAATTACAAACAATAGCATAACGGTATCAGATATGTGATTATGCATTGCGGTTAGAGCAAGTAAATTTCAAAAACAAACATTCAAACACACACAAAAAATAAAATGCGGCATACAAAACATAAATACGATATAAAGAAATGCAAAGAGTACTACCTGCATTAAAAAAAACACAAAATAATAACAAGCATTTATGGAGCGACGCGTTCACGAATCACGACCTTCATTCAAGACAAGATGCCAAACGTAACCCCCGTTCGTGCTTTCTAGATGGCGCAGGCAGCTTTTCCCCACCATTGCATGGTTGCCAACTCTCAAAAATGTATGTATCGTCGTAAGTTGTATATACAGGGTGGAATCTCTCAATAGGAAAGAACTATTGGTATGACCTAGGTATTTGAGGCGTTCGTTTTATTTTATTCTGGCTCTCAATTTAGTGTTAGAAGACCCTTCAAGTTCCTTTAAACACTATTAAAATTTGTAGGGCTCATGTAGGCACGTTGAAACTGTGGAAGACATTGGAAAACGTAAGTGTTAACTCACAAAAACTTAAAGGCTCTTAAAGATTATTAAAAGCGTCTTGAAGTGAGGAGACATTGTCTAGGACTCTATGTAGCTCTTGGCCATTTTGAAAATGTATCAAGGATTTTTAAGGCTCTTGAGGAATCAAAAACACTTTCAAAGTCTCTAGACGTTTTTGAAAGCCATTGGGAACTCTTGGAGACTCCAAGAAGCGTCCAAGCCCTTGACCTGGAGGCTTTTGGAAGCTGTTAGAAATTGTTGGCGACCCTCAGGGCGCTCGCACACGAGCCACATTTTGCAGACCACAGAATTGACCCAACAACATTTTTGGTGGTTGACTTGCTGTCATATGAACAGCATTTGTAGTTAAGACGACTACAACGTGACCACCTCAAACAAAATAGGAACGTTGTTTTGTCCTATTTTTCGTGATGTCACGTTGTGGTTGCCAACTTCAATTTTGTGGATTTCTACCGCCATTTCGCTGCGATCGTAGGGGTAGAAATGAATTCCGGCTCGTCTCGGTTCAGTTGAGTACAATCGCAAGCGGCGACAGTGGACGAGACGACCATTCGGTGGAGATCGGGAACGGATTGACTGCAGATGCGCGTTCCGACTACCGTAAACGTTATTTCGTTATCGATCCGACTGCAAAATGCGGCTCGGGTACGGCCACACTTACAGGCTTTTAAAAACCTTTAATTGCACTTAGAGATCTTTAAAGCATGTAAAAGGCCTTAAAGCTCTTCACGATTCGGATGTAACAGATTTTTAAGAATTTTAAATGGTTCTTAAGCGACAATAAAGATCTTAAAGACTCTTAAAGTCTAATGTCTCAATAAGATTCCAAAACACTCCCTTTGATGACTGTTGAAAAATCTCTTGGTTTGTTTTAAGCCTCTTGAAGGCTGTTAGAGACTGTTGGATGCCCCGGAAGATGTATATAGGATTAAATATCATTATGTCCACCTGATTTTTTAGAAGGTCTCCTATGTTTTGGAAAGACTCTTGAAAGTTATCACAGGGTTTTAAAAATGCGTTTAAAAGTTTATAATGACCTCGAAAGATCTTTAAATAACTTTGAATACTCTTATATTATATCGACACTAATTATTAACGTGTTTATTGATTATAAATACAAGTAAAGTAAATTTGATTTGGCGTGGATATTATACAGGGTGTAGCACCTAAGATCCCTCGGATCATAACTCATTTACCATAAAAAAGACCGAAAAAAATCTTAGAACAAAATTGTACACAATTATCGCCGGCATCTTTCTAAAATATTTTTGATCACCAGGGACGTTCTGTATTCCAGTGGCGTATCCAACTTGCATTTTTTAAAATGAAATACCCCATCTTTATTAAGCGGCAAAGCAAAGCGATGAAAGCTTTATAGGGAAGTCGATGGTGTCCGTCTGTCCGTGAACACGATAACTGTCAAACGCTTGGACCGATTTTGTTCACTTTGCACAGTTGACCTACATGCCACAAGTAATAAGCGTATTGAAAATAGGTCAAATCCAATGACCCCGTGGGGTCACACGACTCTGTCCCTGCCAAACGTTTGAACCTATTCGGTTGAAACTTTGCACAGTAGACTTATATAATAATAAATAATTTCAGACAAAAACCAAGTCGAAACGCTACTTTGTAAAAAAAACGCTCTTTTCCGAACCCAAGTGTGCCATGATGAAACAAAAGATGTTCAATTCTCACAATTAACAGTACAGTGTCGGCAGTGCATGATTGTTAGCGCATTTTTAAAGAATTAAAAAAAAGTGCTATTGTTTGCGTTTTGTCCGTCCGTCCGTCCGGACCCACTTCTGCCGTTTCGAACTACTTCTAGGAGAATGATCCTAGAGTCCTGGAATTTTTTGCAGTAGGTAGCCTATACCTTGAAGGTTTGCCAGACGGCCATAAAATATCGCTGTTTAAAAGCCCCCCCCCCCCACGAATTATTTCCTGAGATGCCGTTTTTGAAAGTAAAACGTGCATAACTTTTACATACGATAACCAATTGGTCTCAGATTTTTGCATACGCATGCCTTTAGTGGTGCCAAGTTAAACTTTAGGAGGGGGGGGGGATACACATGTTGTACCCTTCATGGTATTCTAATGACAGGTCTCATCGAACCGTAAATGACGTAGCTGCTTAGCAACACCCGAGGGGTAGTCAACCCTGACTCAATGGGCTCACATTGTACCCGTACACCACGAAGATTAAATCTTAAAACGTGGATCTTGAAACTCGAGTCTTTGGTCATGAAGATTAAAGTTAATTCTCAATTTCAACCTTGATTCAATCTCAAATCATTCACCTTGACACTTAAATCAAAATGGACTGTGAAATTCAAGCTCCAATCTTAAAACAAAATTTAAAGCTTGAATAACAAAATGTGAATGATGAATGTTGTTTACATATACTGTTGTGTAAACAACATCATGTAGACGTTATTTCGGTCTAAACACCAAAAATAATGACGGGACATCTTGTATATAACAATATTTCAATTTACTAAGTGT